TTAAAATTTGAGATAAACAAAGCCACGGGATTATACATAAAGCCAGTTAAGAATTGTCCAGTTAAGCATTGAGATATAGAGGCATCTTGTGGTCTAAGTCCATAGCTCCTTGAAAGTGGCAATGCAAGTGAATGAAACTGGGGAAGGCGGCAATACAGCATGCTTGCCTTCATCAGTTGGGGCATTGAGTATAAACGTTGCTAAGTCATGTTGCAACTGTATGAGACTTTAGTTAAATTGCATTTGGAGTACTATGTGCAGTTCTGGTCACCACATCATGGGAAGGATGTGGAGGCTTTGGAGAGGGTGCAAGAGAGGTTTAACAGGATGTTCATAGATCGTAGAACCCCTACAGTGTGGAAACAGGCCATTCAGCCCAACAAGCCCACACCAACTCTCTGAACAGCATTCCACCCAAACTCACCCCTCTACCCTATCACTGTAATCCTGTGTTGCCCCTGGCTAATCCACCTGGCCTGCATTTCCCTGGATACTATGGGCAATTTAGCACAGCCAACCTGCACATTTTTGGACTGTGGGAGGAAACACACAGACACAGGGAGAATGTGGAAACTCCACACAGACCTGAGGCTGGAGTCAAACCTGGATCCCTAGTGCTGTAAGGCAGCAGTGCTAACCGGTGAGGCACTGTGCCATGTTGCCTGGATTGGAATGCATTAGCTACATGGAGAGGTCAAACAAACTTGGATTGTTTTCGCTAGACCCGAGAGAAGTATATAAAATTATGAGACACATGGAAAGGCTGGATAATCAGAATCATTTTCCCCAGGCTGGAAAGGTCATATATTAGGCAGCATATGTTTAAGATGCAAAGTGCAAAAGTTTAAAGGAGATGTGCAAGGAAAAAGATATTTGTTAAAAACACAGACGGTAATAGGTGCCTGAAACAAGCTGCCAGGGGAGTTGGTAGAAGCAGATACAATAGCAAAGTTTAAGAGATATTTAGACAGACACATGAACAGCAAGGAATAGAGGGATAGGGGCAGACAGATGGAATTAGTTTAGAATGGCATGATGGTCAGTACAGATATGGCACGTTAATGGGCCTGTTTCTGCGCTGAACTGTTTTATGCAAGAGTAAGCAGAAGTAATTCAATGCCAGCTGGTTGGTGAAACAGTTGGTGAAACACACTTGAGGCATTGTCTACCACAGTCAGTTCAGCCTCAAATTTAAACCACAGTTGTGCAGACACATTTTACACAAGTTTACTTCTTAAGACATCTCAGAAAATCAAACAGAACACTGGGACTAGCATTTTGGTTGCGAGGAAATATTCATTGCAACATGTATTTGTGTAATGTGGTTTACACAGGCAGCATTGATACTTACAAAAATGTTTAAATTTTTGTATTAAGATCTGTGACGCAAATCATTTAACAATTCCTCTTCAATAAGAAAGGTGAGGTAATTGATCACATACAAAACCTTGGAAAATACTTCACCTGTGCAGGGAACATAAAATGTGTTTTCTTCTTAATATGGTCAAGGGACAATTTCTATCTGATTTTTACAAAATAGATGAGACAAGGTTCATTTAATGGAAGAAAAATAACATATTTACAGCAATTCAAAACTATGACAACACCGACCAACATTTCTTTAGTAATTTTGCCAGTGACTCCAATATTTCACGAGTGAAACATCTAAGATCTGCTTTGCAGCAGGTAGCAGTTGAATGCAGAATTACAGTAGACTGCAGCAGCAAGGAGAGGTGATGGCCTATTATCACCAGACTGTTAATCCAGAGGCCCAGGTAATGTTCTGGGGACCTGGGTTCGAATCCAGCCACAGCAGATGGTGGAATTTGAAATTTATAAAAATTTAGAATGAAGTGTCTAATGATGACCGTGAATTCATTGCTGACTGCCGGGAAAACCCATCTGGTTCACTAATGTCTTTTTAGGGAAAGAAACTGCCATCCTTACCTGGTCTGCCCTACATGTGATTCCAGACTCTCGTTTATCCATTTTATACCTAACCTGCCATGCATTTGCCCAAATCACAATGAAATCCTCTTTCACTTAACTCTAAACTTTATGTCATCAGCAAACTTGGGAGATATTATTACATTTAGTTCCCTCATCCAAATCATGAATATATATTATGACTAGCTGGGGTCCAAGCACTGATCCCTGCAGTCCCTAATCACTGGCTACCACTCAAGAAAAGACTCGCTTATTCCTATTCTTTGTTTCCTGTCTACCAACCACTTCTCTATCCGTGTCAGTCCACTACACAGGGCTTTAATTTTACATGCTTATCTCTTAAGTGGGACCTTATCGAAAGCCTTCTGAAATTCCAAGCAAACCACAACCACGGGCTCCCCCTTATCAATCTACTAGTCACATCCTCAAAAAAATTCTAGTTGGTTTGTCAAGCATGATTCCCCTTTCATAAATTGTTGCTGACTCTGTCCAATCCTGTATGTTTTCCAAGCATGTTCTATGAAATCTTTTATAATGGACTCTAGCACTTCCACCACTAGTGATGGTAGGGCAACTGGTCTATAATGTCCTACTTCCTCTATCACTTTTTATTTACAAGGTAGGTTACATTAGCTACCCTCTAATCCATAGGAACCATTCCAGAATTTATAGAATCTTGAAAAATGCATTTACTATTTCTATGTGACCTACAGTCAATATCCACAAGCAATTCAAAAATCCACTACTTATTTGGTTGCTTTATTTGCTCTGCGTTATAACTGCCCCCATTTATGGCTGTAAGAGATCTACATTTGTCTCAAACAAATCTTTTTCTCTTCACGTACCCGCGGAATCTTTTACAATCAGTTTGAAAGTTCCCTGCAACCTTACTCCTGTATTCCATTTAACCCATCTTAATCAATCTTTGTCCTTCCTGAAATCTAGACTGTTCCCATTCCTCAGGCGTTCTGCTATTTTTGGGGCAATTTGTATGACCCTTCCTTGGATCCAATGCTATCCTTAATTTTCCTCATAAGCCATGGTGAGGTCATCTTTCCTGCTTTATTTATGTAGCAGACAAGGACGAACAATTATTGTCATTCTTGCGTTCTTTAGACATTTGCCATTGCCTATTCACCAACATCCCTTTAAGCAACGATCCCCAATTTATCATAGCCAGTTCATGCCTCATATCATTGTTGTTTCCTCCCTGCTATTAAACTCTTATGCCTAGGCTAATAAAGGCAAATATCCCATTTGCTTTCTTAACCATATGCCTTCTTAATCTAAGGCTGTCCTCCTCACTATTTACCACCTGGTCAATTCTTGTATCAGCAGTGATTTTCCTGATCAATGCTCCTACATTCAAGTCCAAATTGTTTATATATACCACTGACAGCAAGGGACTCAACAATGACCTCTTTGGGACCTCAGTGGATGAAGACTTCCAGTCACAACAACACCCCTCGACAAACATCCTCTGCTTCCTGTCACACAGCTAAGTCTGCATCCAAATTTCCTTGGATCCCACGAGTTCTTACTTTTGCTATCAGTATCCCACAGGGACCTTATCAAAAACCTTGCCGAAGTCCAAGCAGACAACATCAAAAGCATTGCCCTCCTCATCTACTTACCCGATCACTTCTTCAAAAAATTCAGTTAAATTGATCAGGCATGACCTCCCCTTAACCAAAACCATGCTGTTTTTTATTAATCCCTACCTCTCCAACTGCAGATTAATTTTGTCCCTCAGAACTGCCTCCAGCAGTTTACTACCACAGAGATTAGGCAGACTGGCCTGTTGTTTCCCGATTCATCCCTTACTTCCTTCTTGAACAATAGTACCACATTGGCTGTCCTCCAGTCTTTTGGCATCTCTCCTGTGGCCAGAGAAGAATTGAAAACTATTGCCAATGCTCTTGCTATTTTCTCCCTTGCCTCACTCAACAACCTGAATACATTTCATCTGAATAAAAAAACCGGAAGAACTGCACATGTTGGAAATCAGAAACAAGAAAAGAAGTTGCTGGAAAGTCTCAGCAGATCTGGCAGCATCTGTGGAGAGAAATCAGTTAATGTTTTGGGTCCAGTGACCCTTCTTCAGAACAGTTCTGAAATGTTAACTCTGCTTTTTCTCTATAGATGTTGCTAGATTTGCTGAGATTTCCCAGTAATTTCTATTGATGTTATACACTTCATCTGGCCCTGGAGATTTATCTACTTTTAAGCCTGCCAGGTCACTGAAAACTTCTGTCTATGTTATCTTAAATATATTGTAGCTCTTCTCTCATATCTACATGCAAATCATCCCTCTCACTAAATACCGATCCAAAGTATTCATTTAGAACTCTAACTACACCGACTGGCTCCATGTGCAAATTATTGCTGTGGTCCTTATTGGGCTCTATTCTTTCCCTAGTTATCATTTTCCCCTAAATATACTTGAAAAATAACCTAGGATTTTCCCTTATTTTTCCTGTCAGCATTCTTTCATGCTCCCTTTTTGCTCTGCTAATTTTCTTTTTAAGTTTCTCCTCGTACATTCTGTGCTTCTCTAGAGCTTCTGTTGTCTTGAGTCTTCAACATTTGCCAAATTCTTTCCTATCCTCTTCATCCAATTCTGTATATCACATGATATCAAGGGTTCACTGGATTTGTTGGTCCAACTTTTTCTTCTTTATTGGAAGATGTTGACCTTGTACTCCCCATCTCCCTCTGGAATGCATCCCACTGTCTCTGACACAGATTTACCTACAACTTTCTGCTCCCAATTCACATCTGATCTTATTGGCCTTCCCTTAATTCAGAACATTAATTTCAAGCCCATTCTTGTCCTTTTCCGTTATAATTTTGAATCTAATGGAGTTATAATTGGTGTCTGCAAAACGCTCAGCCACTAATACTTCAACCATTTGCCCAGCTTCACTACCCAAAATTAACTCTGGGTCTGCCCCCTCTCTTGTAGGGTGTTTTTAATCTACTTCCCAGCTTGGTTTGGAGGGGAACTTGCAGGTAACAACATCCCCATGCAATTGTTAACCTTGTCCTACTAGATGGTAGATACTGTGGGTTTGGAAAGTATTGTCAAAGGAGCCTTAAGTGCTGTAATGCACTTTGAAGGTAATACTGATGGCGCTGGAAGTAGTGACACAGGTGGCAGTGAAGCCAAACTGCAGGACCTTGAATAATATTTACTGAACCAGTTATGAAGCAACAATGCGAGAGATTATAAAAAAAGGAAGGTCAGAAATCTGTAATACTTTGACTGCAGATTGTTTGAAGAAGGGAGATAAAGTTTGAAGGAATTCAGCAGAGTGCTGAAGCATAACTTGGTTAGATTCAGCAAGTCGAAGGCTAAGGAAATGAAGTGCAACCAGGAGGGTAGACATGTACAGAGCAGGGTGCAAACAATTGGCTTACTGGTGAGATGTAGAGATCTAGATATCTAGAGACTCAGCCCAATAGACAGGAGAGAAAACTGGAAGCAAGCAGCAGAATGGAGTCAACAGGAAGTCAGCAATTACACAGGAAGCTTCAAATTTAAATATGAAAAGCTTCAAAAAACACCAAGGATTGGAGAGATACTGAAGGCATACTATAACCACAGAACAACAGCATAGGTCAATATTGTCTGAAGTGTAGTTGTTGTGCTCTCCCCTGTCCTATTGGAAAATTTAAATCAGAACAGAAAATGTATAAGAATAATGGACCTTGGGATTTGCACGCCAAAATGTTTTCTTCTCAATCACACATTACTTTGTAATTTTCTTCAAGCTTAGTTAAAACATTAATGCCAAACTGCATGTGGTTTCAAAAAGTCTCAAGCTAAGAAATGGAAATTCCATTACTTAATTCACAATAATTCTCATGATAAAACAACTCGATGTATATAACTTCTGACACAAACAGTCATTAAACGCAGGAATGAACGACATTTTGGATTTCACTCGACCACAATGTCGATACACTTACCTGATGTTGGGCAGGCACTTGTTGCAATGTGGTCTTAGGTGAAGAATGCTGTGACTGGACCCAGGGCTGATGTTGATGAGATGTAGGAGAAGTCTGATGATGAACTGCTGAGTGCTGTTTCACAGGTGGACAAGTTGGCAACTGAGGCTGAAAAGGCTGATTTGGGTGCTGCTGGCCAGACATTAGACGTTCCTGCATCATCTGATCGGCATGATTTCCACTGGGACCGAGTGCACCAACTGGTCTTGGAAGGCTGCCAATATCCCTTGGTACAGAAGGGCTCATGTATTGTGTCTGCATGCTTCTGGGACCAATGCTCCTCTGTCCAAGTCCCATGGTACCTGGGGACTGGTGCGGCTGTTGAGGCAGGGGCATGTTTGAATAACTTCCAACCTCCAACTGCATGCCAGCACTGCCAGGCCTAACCTGTGGTGGAGGGGTGCCTGCTGGGTTACTCATAGCTTTCATCGGTGACATTGGTGGTGGAGAAGCATAAGTTCCCTGAGACTGTGTGGGGTGCATAGTTTGTGCATTAATTTGGTTAAGTGGGCCACCTGGATGTATAGGCTGCTGGTGCATTAGTCCTTGGCTTGTGCCACCTGGGAATCCCACAGTATTTGGATAGCGGGGTATTGACTGGTTCACAGATGGGTTACTATTAAGGCCTAGGTTTTGACTGATCCCTGTATTACTGTTAACTAATCCCTGATTAATGTTACTATAAGGATATTGTGAATACTGCCCTGAGCTACTTACAGATTGTGATGGTACCGCCTGGCTACGTGAACTAAAATTTAAATTTTGTTGTCTGCTCGCGGCTTGTTGGGAAGGATTTGGGGAGAATCTAGGACTATGCGCAATGGAATCTCCATGGAGAGAATTAGGAGGGGGATGGGCATGGTACTGCTGGGTTGGAGTGTGACGTAAAGAAGGGCTAATGTTGGGGGTTTGCTGAGGCATGTGAGCCAAGTGGCCTGGTCCTGAAGTTCCCATGAAAGGATTTCCTTGACTGAGGGCCTCTTGACCCTGAGTGAATTGGTTCACCCTCTGCTGCTGAGGCTGGTTGTGCTGTTGCAATGAATAATCACTACGTGTTAGGTAATTCCCCATCTGTTGCATATGTTGAGCATGCCCTTGCCCTGGAGGTGGTGGCTGTGGTTGTTGCTGTTGCTGGAAGGCAGGTCGGGTTTGATCTGGCACCTGAACAGCACGTGGGCCCCACATGGAGCTACTATCTACAAATTGCTGTCCACACCTTTCATTCTGCATAGAAGGGTACACTCCCAACTGAGTACCACTGTGAGGGACTGGTGGAACTGTGGGGTTGTGGTATTGAGAGTGGGGTGATGCCATACCATTCCCGGGTGTATTGCCAATCATTCGGTTAGGCTGATCTACTAGATGTATTTTTTGCTGTTCAAATGGACCAAAGTGATCATAATGAGCCAGTTTAGTTTGAGTCTGAGTAGGTGGGGGATGATGGAGAGGAGACTGCATGGAGGCAAATCCTTGATCCATGGGTAATTGTTGCCCAAGTGTATTCACTGGATTTTCTGAAAAACCACATTCGCCAAGACCTTCAAGCCCTTCACTGAAAATGTTCCCATCATCACCAAACAAACTCAGCATACCAGGATCTGCCATCTTCCTTGTGCTCACAGCTCCCCTAATGGCACGAAAAGTGAACTATTCTGTGCTTCACCTCACTGCTTCCCTTCGAGGTGTACGTCCTCAAAGCCTTAAATCCTATGACTAATCTCCTGTGTGTCACTCCACATTTCCTTAATTCTTTTGGACAATTCAATGTCAGGCAGAGTCTGGATAGAGGTCCTAGGGAGAAAATGAAAATAAAATGAAATTGGGAACAAATGGAATGAATAATGCACACAAAGAGAATCAATAAAGTCACATTAAGATGTCCCTTCCTTCTAATGTAAACTCCTGCATAAACTGAAACAAGAGATGCTAAGCTTCCTAGGCAATTTAAAATATCAAGCCTGCAAAATTAAGCAAAACCTCTTTAATCTTTTGCTTACAGTTTGTACTAGAGCATCCTGCACAATACATTAGTTATAACTCATGCAAGCACTAACCTGAACCATTAATTCATTCATCACTTAACTTGCCAGTTCTACATTCTTGGTTGTAAAAGAACAAAATGACAAACTGTAGTCACAGCAGCTGCCAGCACACCAGGCAGACAGCTGGATGAATACAGCACAGCACACCATCTGCTCCAGTGAGGCTAAGCGCGTGTACCAACCTCTTCCATCACGTTCCTAACCTCCTCATCCCCAAGAGTATCTATATAATTCTGCTTACTTATATGCTAATGAAATTCAACTAGTGTACAGCATTGTTATCTATAGAAAATAGTTCACAGAACTAGAGTGCCTTAAATAGTAAGAGTGGCTGATAAATGCATGCTCACAACAGTAAATAAAACTAACTTTTATGTTAATCATATAAAAGCAGTACTTCAAGTATATCCTGAGATCAATCAGTATTTTTTTTTTGGGCATTATCCAAACTGAATTGCTAATACTGTAGTTAGATTCCATTGATATTTCAAATAAGGCTTTGACAAATGTATATTTGATACAACTTTAAAGTTACTACCCAAGTATACTGATACAGCCCATCCAGCCACATGCCTGAAACAAACAAGTAGCCAATATGATGGATTTACAGATTCCAGGCCACATTTTCAAAGTGATCTGACAAAGGAAGCACAGCTACAGGGTTCATCACTCACCCCAAGGCAAACAGATTACCAGTGATGTAACAACCTCCATTTACGACTAAGTGCACATTGCAGCTGGGGAGTGTCTAGCTCAACACTCTTTCACCATTCCGACAAGGCTAAACAGGATGACCATTTATAAGGGCATCCTAACCTCCATAAAGTTAGACTGTTACAACTGGCGTCACAGAAATTACAAGGTGAGAAAAACACTGCAATCTAATTATGCCTTGTTTTCCCCTCCGAGGCACGTTTGAAATCTCATCAGGACCAAGTTGGTACTTGTAGCTCGATCTCAATCAACCTGAAGTGGACGTCATTGCTTGAGCAACACAGCTAAACGTTTTCTCTGCACCCAACCCACTCGGTCAGGTTTCCCTTTTGGATCAGCAAGGATTAAAAAAACCAGGATATTCATCACCCATAAGTACTTTACCACTAGTCTGAACAAAGAACATCATCTCTCAATTTGACAGTGTACATTGCTCAACACTATTCCCTAGCATCCTGGTCAGCGATGACATTCACAAGTACAATTACACAGCATGAAGCAAAGCAGCTTCAGAGCCATCTGCTCCTACTGACTGATTTTTTTTCATTGAAATGCAATGATCCTTAATCACTTGCACTAGGAGAAGGATGTTTTCACATAAAAAAACAAATTTAAAAGCTACCCACAATTCTGGAAGTCCTTCTGTCTAAAAGGAATGGAGAAGATATAAAGTAAACAGATTATTTACCCTTTTTTATATTAAAGCAATAACCTAATCACAACTTATTACTTTATGTCAGTATAATACAAAGAAAGTGGGTAGAGTAAAGGGCGAAAGGGATTGTAATTTCACTACCAACAGTTTAGTGACAGCGCTGCATCAAGTGATCTCCCAGCAATTACATCTGCACAAAAAACAAAAACTAAATAAATAAAACAATAAGGGGTAGGACTCAATGGCTACATGCTGAGGGACAAAGCAAAACAATTTAGCCACAAATCAATTAGTATTAACATACTTTTTCCTTTACAGTTCCATGCAGTCACTAATTAACAAATCTAGTCATTTCTTCTATTATTCTGTACTAAAACGATTTCCAGAAGCTTGAGTCAGCACATGTGAATGGGTTATTTATTAAATTGTTGATTGTCCCCATAATGCCAAAGGCCCCCAGCTCAAACAAGCTCCCCATACACTTACTACAACATTCCTTTTCTTTTCCTTTCTAACCAATGACTGCTGACAAAAATAATTTATCTGTTCCTCTTTCGTGGCAGAGCACAGCGTGTGTGATTGGGTGCAACTTATCCATCATGAACAAGCTGCAGTACAAAGACAGGCTGAGTGTCACAGGATATAAATGGACAAAGGTCACACAGTAAGCTAGAGAGTTTTGCATGGGACTCTGGCTGTTACATACAAATGGCAACCTCTTCTGATAATACTCTACTACAATTAGACAAGAACAATTACTTAGAATCTACCTCTAACATAAATTGAATACAAGGATATTGTCTAGGCTAGGAATTACATTTTTATGCTAAAAGGTACTGGTCTCCAATTTCTCCATTCAATATGAACCTAATACTCACCGTAAAAGAATAAAAAAGTTTAACAAACATTAAAATCTGTTTATTCACAATACACAGTGCTCAAGTATGACTACTAAGTAACACAGTCATGTAGGAGAAAGCATCAGTACCCCTTATAAACTAGCATGTAATCAACTGGTTTCATTTTTAGCCTGCAAGCACATTACTAATTTAAGTTCATGTCTAACACTAAAAAGCACTTCAATTGCCATAAGACAGAATATTAAACCAGGTACAAAAGTGCAGTTACGCTATGCTCACAACTGAAGGACATAACTAAAAGAACTGGCATTTATACAAGCCCATTTCTGACTGTATTACAAGATTCCAGCTTGATATAGTGGTAGAATTCAATTTCCAAACGAGGCCTTGTAAATATTACATTCCGTTTAAGAGGAAGAATAGCACAAACTATGTCCCCTTAGGATTTATACACAGAGTGGCACAGATTCAGGTCAAACACAGGGCAACGTTAAATTATAACTCTGATGTATGCAGTTTCCATTCTGCAAAAAGTTAGGAGATTCATATCAGACATCACCCTGATAAAAACTTAACAACACAAAAATTTGACCCAGGCCAATTTGGGGATCAACAGGGGAAAACTTTTAAACCCAAAGCTGAATTACATACAAGAAAACTAAATTGCCAAAATTCTCAAATAGGTTGAAGCAAAAACTAGAACATATATATTTCTACTTAGCTGAGCTGTCCTGTTGTCAAATTCTCTACAAAAAATGGGCAAGTGTTGATGTGTTTGTCATCATGAAAAACCAAAACAAGTTACTACATAAATGGATACAGGAGCAAAACCTAGAACCCTACCTTAAAAGTTATTCCCTGTCATTAAACATTAAGTCCTTCCACTCTACTTTTATACTGACAGAACCATACATCATTTCGTCAACTGGATATGGTATGCAGCCAGGCAGAGAAAAGTAACATTAGATATATTTATGAATTAATTCTCATGTCACTACATTTTCTTACTTTACAATCACAACATTGCACTCTCTGCCTTACCATCAACCTATGAAATACAAAGAAAATATCGATAAGCCAATTCAGGAAACATAAGGAAGTTGAACAAGGTCCAATTTATTGATTACCCAGAATCTCTCATGATCAAATAGTTCTCTAAAAAATATGCTTCAATACTTCACCACAAAGGCTACAATATATTAATCCTCACTACCACAAGAACTTATTAGAGAAGAATAAAACTTAAAGTACATTCTTAATTGATTCCCCAGTAGAGTCTGAACATTCCAAGTGACTGTTGATAACATTACTAGCAATCCTCTCACTTAAATTCCACACCAAAAGGAAACACTCTTCACCACACAACGCATTTTTGAATATGGGCGCCAAATGTGCCAATCTCCAATCATGAGGATTCACCAGTTCGCTGAATCACTGAAAACCTTTACTAGGAAATCCACTTCCTTTTGCAAACTGAGAATTTATATCTGGTCGTAGGATTTTTTTTAATCTTGAACCCTTGAAACTAGCTGATTGTACTTCACTTAAGATGTGCAAGCAATCCCTAATTTTACTTCTATCTGCTGTACAAGAACAAGATTTACCATTTTAAAATATATACCAAATGAGCATTCATTTGACTTCACCAACCCCCAATATTCATAATTTTGCACCAGTCACCCAGTAATTGTCTTGATTAGTCTCTAGTTGACAATAACTAAAAAGTAAAAATTATTTTCGCACCCCTTTAACCATATTCTTTACTTGTTCTAGATTCATTTTGGCTTTTCTAATATTTGTAACATGAATTAGGGTCTGCGATTTTTTTCATGCCCAGAAACCTCAAAATACTTTGAGCCGAAACTAGTTAAAGTGCAGTTTTTGGCTTACTTCAAAGGGATCCAGATAATATTATTAACAAAACATGTCAAGTGTTCAGGTATTAATAGAACCCTGTTAATAATACATTAGTTACAAGCCTACCACATTCTCAAATTAAAGGTAAAAATTGTACAAAGAATTCTAAAAGCAAGTTTAAAAATTGAGAAATCATACTGCTCTTGCAAATATGCACTCTCAAAAAGTGTACTCTTGCAACTAGAAGTCTCCAAATATAATTAAAATCTTGAGAAGCACTTTAGGTAAATGAGATGGCAAATCTGCATTCAAATATGAATAGCTATAGTATAAATTGATCAAGCGAATTGAAAACATTATGGCAGATTATTTCAGCATAGGGATGTACAAAGTCATTTACACTACGCCCAAAAAAAAAAATCAGTGAACTTTCTAAATAGTAGGAAGCTAGAAATTGGAAGAGCAGAATCACTAGAAATTTATGAGCTGAGTAATTTAAAAGACTAATGCTATTTGCTAGCCTTCATCTCAAAAAGGAACTGGAAGTTATAGAGTTAGGTAAAGCTCCAACTTGACAGCATTTGAAATACAGTGCAAAATTCTAGGTAATGTACCTCAAAGGAGGACAGAATAGTCTTGGAATTGATAGTGCAACTTCACCAG